TCCAGGAGGACTCCCAAGTTGCGCGCCCTCTCTGAGGGGGCCAAAGTTTCGCCCCCTATAGTCAGCGATGGCATCAGCTGACTATGCCGAGGCGCCGGAAACCACAGCCACTCGGTCTTGGAAGGGTTGAGCCTGAGTCTGTTCTTCCCCATCCAGACCCGTACGGCCTCCAGGCAACGGGCCATCACGTCAAGGGCATTGTTGGGGTGGCCTGGGGTGGAAATGTACAGCTGAGTGTCATCAGCGTACTGATGGAAATCCACCCCAAAGCCACGAATGATCTCCCCCAGCGGCAATCTCTTTGACACACTGCTGGGAGCTGATCTTGACCCATCCGGGCCTTCTTCCTACCAAGGGGAGTCATCCTTTCTTCTCCAACTCTGAAGCCTCAGCAGATGCCTCCTGGGTGGGAGCCCCAAGCGTGCTGGGCTTCATACACCCACAAACCAGAGTGTGCTAAGACAACATTGAAGAAAGATCCAGAATGGATTGTCCCATAAGGACCTTTTAGGACCACCGGCTGGGTGGACTTTAACTGTCCTTCAAGAATGTCCATCCTCTTTAGAAACACCATTCCTTGCTCTTTTCCTTTGTGTGTCTTACTTGTCGGTCATTCCCTACCCGTTTCCCGTGTTTCATAAAACAGTTTTTTAATTTATAATAGTTTGATAGGCAGGCTCATTCACTCCCTCTGAGAAGGGAAAGAAGCAATCCTTGGGGACGCAGTCAAGAAACAGGAAGCTTGGTTCTGCTCAACCTGAACCCTGACTTTGCCCTGGCAGGGGAAATACACCTTCTCTGATGGTTTGGAATACAAAGACAATAAATGGCATTACTGTGATGGCTACGACCGAAGGTTTTACACGGAAATCTGCAATGGCCTGAAGCCAGCAGGTACAGCTTGGGTCAGCCGGATGATGGGATTACTGGTGCTCTTCCTCTGGGAGGCGGGCAGACCCTCTCCCCTCTGATCGGGAGACCCCCCCCAAAAAAACTCAAAATCAGGGCCCCTGGGGCAAAGCAGTGAAGGCTGGGCTATTTTTTTCCAGAGTTGTTGTTTCTCACACCCTCTTCTTCCTCCGTTTCCTTTCCAAGGGATTTCCCAGCTGACCAACCTGGACCCGCCTCGGACCATCCCCCCCGGCTGCTATGACTGTGGAGACGGCTTCTACAACCCGAAGACTCGAGTGGTGGTGGATTACCGGCACCGCTTCCTGAGAAACGCAGGTAGGCCTCTATCCTCCGGGTCCATTTCATCCTGGAACTGGCTGCGGGGGCTGCAAAATCAGCAAGAGGGAGGTCTGAGCTGTCCTGGGGAACACCGGGCAGGCCACTGCGAGCCTTGGGGTCCTTCAC